ATACAGTACAATAAAAATATCATCACAAATTCTTCATAGTTATATATTTCCAAACACAAATTACAATTTATATGCCTCTTAAAACACATATTGCTCTTTCAAAAAGTATATCTATATTATTATTTAAAGAAAATTCCTACTACCCATATCAGTGTCATCGACTGTTGCAGTATTTGACTTATTTCGATCCTTCCCAGTAATCATATAGTCAAATTTGTTTAGAGTTTTTTGATAACTTTTACAATTCTCTTCAATACCGTTTACAAGATAATCGGTACAATACTTGCATTAACTTTCTAATTTGAATAAAAAACATTCAAAATAATAAGTATGTTCACATATTAAAATACAACCTACTTCACGATTATCTATACAATTTTCAAAATCACAATATTTATTTTCTTGGGGTAGAGACACTGTATTTCAAGCTATTGCCAGTATTTTAATATCAACTTAAGCTTCAAGAGTTGGAAGCTCATATGTTTCTAATCAAAACTCTGTATCATATTAAATAACCTTCGACCTGCTAAAATTCTAATAGACATTCGTAAATAAATTCAACAAAAAAAGTGATATGCATTTTTTAAAATATTCTAGCTGTTTTGATAAATATCTAACGTTATAACCCTCAGAAAAGGTATTTGTAAAAGAATTTCTGCTATGCATTTGGTCTATTATTCGTGTTTGTCAAATAATTTGCTTTGCAGTACTTTATTTCTGTATTTGCTATCTAAGTAAACTGTAAACATTTTCTACATAATAATTGTTAAAAGTATGAAGAAAATTTTCAAGAACTTGTGAAATTGGATAATTAGTGCTAGACCAAAAAAAAAATATCATTAAAAAATGCCAATGGCAATTTTTTATAATTTTTATGCTTATACTAATAAAAATTAACCCAAATACAAAACAGTAACTCTTTATAAGCTATCTAATTTCTGCTATAAAATATGATAGGATAAAAATTTAGAACAATTAGAATAACATTGTCTAGTAAGTTTATAAGATATCAAACTTCTGGGTCTTTAAACTGTTTGAATTTTTTCAAAATCATCAAACATACTCAAAACAATCCCTGAAATGCTAATTTAAGTAACAAATTAATTTTATAAGGTTTTGGCTTTTGTACAAAACCTTTTTAGATCTAAATACTTAATGAAAAAGAATATCAAAAAATCTGTAATTTTCAAGAAATACAGTTTCATAACTATTTAAAGATATGTATAAAGGACCGATCATTAGAACAATATTCAAAATTTGTTCTGATATTTTAGAGGTTTCACCAAATTTAAGATAATAATTAATAGTACAATATATATAAAGCTGCTCAGGATAGTCTATAGATACTACTAATATATAATTTTCTAAATAAGTTTTTGCTTCTGAAATAGCTATTAAATGTTTAATCGCTTTTATATAGTCCAAGATAGAATAAAGAGACCCTTGTATTAAATCAACCAGTTTCGTATTTTCTATACTTTGGTTGGTTTGGCATTGTTTAATCCTATTGTTATAGCTGTGTACTAAAAGGCATTCAACTCATTCATTATAGGTTGTTGGCGTAGAAATCAAATTGTTAAATACTTGTTTTCGACCAGTATAACTAATTCATAAGTAAAGAAAAATAATAAGTAAGTATTCAGTATTATAATGTTTGCATTTATATCAAGATTTTTTTCTTGACAAAACAGAATAGACGTAATTTTTGGCAAAGCTTTTAGGAGTATTGTAGCAAAATGAGCAATATCATGTGTAAATGTCATATCGCTATAAATATGTTCATGAATATTATGAAAATTGTCTATATTAAGAACCACTAAATTTCCAACCTAAAAAATATTTATTGTTATTTTTTACATTTATTAAAATCTATAGAAGTATCTTATATATTTATATTTTTTAATAAAAATTCACCTACTTTTGTTAGATGCATTTTCAATTGTTAAACTTTTTGTCTTACAATGGTTTCATATCTTACTATTACACTTGCACTGGCTAAGTCTCTATTGTCGATGAAGATATACCTGCTGCATTTAATAAAAACCTAACTTCTGCCTTAACTCTACTAATAAATTTATTATTAAACTTTGATAAAAAATAGCAAAACAAAACAAGCTTTTTCTTATTTTTTTATTAGTCATATAGCTCTTTGTTTGTGGATTAGTTCCAGCAATTAATTGATTAAAAAAATCTTTTAATGATAGTTCAACTTCCTCAAGCATTTTGTTAAACTCTTCTGGATCGAGAACAGGTTTTTTATTATATACATACTGCCTTGTGTACAACACTTCTGCCATCAATTTAATTTTTCTATTAAGAGAAACCAATTCTAAAAGATAATAATACAATTAATATTAATATAACAAACCATTATAAATAGAAAAAGTTTTAAGTGAAATATAACAATAGCATCCCGCAACAATTATGTCAAGTGTTAAAAAAAAAAAAAAAACTTTATTCAATTTCAGTTCATCAAGCTTAGCATATGCTTCATGATAAACAGACTCCAATTCCTGAAATTCTGATTAAGAATAAATAATATTATTTTATAATATAATAATCTACCTTAAAAATTTCTAATATTCTCCCTAGAAATCCTCTCAATTAGTAATGGATAGTCTAGCAAATTTACATATTTTGAATCAGTATCAGTCTTATACAAACAGTGGCAATATAGGCGCTTTGCAGTAGAAAGGGCGGAAACTATCCCAAAAATGAAAAATGAGTTTTTATTAGATTTGGGTATACTTCGATGTAGTCAACATTTTTCTATTATAAATGAAGATCGACTTGCATAATAAAAAGTTGAGATAATATATAATAAAAATTGCACAAGGCTTCCTAAAGCCAAGTGCATCACAAAAATACCCATTAATCACATGTTGTTTTTAACAAATCAAAATCATGAAATTTTGATTAACCCGGTTCAGTCTGAAAATCAAAACAAAACCATTAAACTCAATTATACTAAATTATATATATTTGAGTATCCACCCTTTCTATTGCAAAGTGCCCATATATTTTAACTATTGGTGGCAAGTTAAAGAACTCAATAAGCCATTTTGGAATCTGCTTAAATATATTCCCTTTTAGACCTTTTTGAGCTGTAAAAATATATGTCTTATGTTTAGGATAAAAACAAGTTTTAGTTTTTTTTATATTTTTTATATATTTTGCATTTACTATTAGAGACATGACAAAAATCAGGTGATTTTTTAGGGAGGAGAGAGTAAAAATTTTAAAATCATATATAAGAACCTGATCAAAATATATATTAAGAGGGGGAGGGGGTAAGCTTCTGTTTTTAACTTATTATAATGTTTTCTACATAATGCTTTGTTAACCAAATCTAAGTATTTGCTTGAATCAGGTATAGTTACTTTCTCAAAAAATATACAAACACTATTTAATTCATAATCATATATAATATCATTCTCACCTTCAAGGTTGCAGGTTAATTTTCTCTTACCTTTCTTTTTAATGCTGGAAGCTTAAAACTGTGTATTTTCAATAGAAATAATCTTTCTTGTATATTGAATTAGCTAAAAAATATATGAATTCTAATGCACTAAACAGCCTGAAGCTTATAATGTTTATAAAACAATAAGTGGTTAGCTTGATAAGATAATTAGTTTCTATATAATTAAATATAACATTATACAGAATATACATTTAGTTATTTATTTTCAGATGAGATAGTAGAGTCATCTTTGATAAACCTAGAATATAAACTATATAGAACATGATCATTTTACAAAACAAAATTAGTAATACAGTACCCAACAAAAGTTTTCCTGCACTCTAATATAAGTTCTTAAAATTATGTATAGTATCTTAAAATTTTTTGTAAGCAAAAAATATCTTAAAGACAATCATTTGTATGTTTTACAGAACAGTAAGTCTCTTGTATCACAGTACTGCATGATTACAAATTTTCATGTAACCACCCAATATGAAAATCACACAAATATTTTTGAGCAGTATACCTCAATAATAAAATGATCAATTTCAATGTTTGAGTATTTTTTGAATTCTACATGTTCGTAGAATTCAAAAGAGTCCTTAAACATCAAAATTGATCATAAGATATCTATAAAAAAAAATTTGATGGCCACCAAATTTTGGAAGTACTGGTTAAAGTTCTTTTAAAAATTCAAACATATATATCTCAATAACAATGTAATCAATTTTGATAATTAAGATCTTTTTTGAATTCTGCAGTTTTGTATAATTCAAAGAGCCCTTAAACATCGAAATTGATTACTTCGTTGCTAAGATATTATTGTTAAAAATTTAATTTTTTAACAAATTTCTAACAATAATATCTCAGCAACGAAGTAATCAATCTCAGCATTTAAAGGTTTTTTTAAATTCTACAAAACTGTAGAATTCAAAAGAGATCTTAATTGTCAAAATTGGTTATGTCGGTGTTGAGAAAACTTTACATAAATTTAAAAAAAAATTTGTCCAGTAATTATATATTCGGGCTCTCATAACATTTATATGTTAGATGCCTGTTAAAAGAATTCATCGACCTGTAGATGATATAGAGACCTACATTCAAGGTCTTCTTTGTTTATAGAAAGTTTGAAAATGCTACGCATGATTTTAAGAGATCTACGGGTGCGGGGAAACTTTTGTCGGGCACTGTAAACAAAGAAACTTGCCCATTACTGGTTTCTAAATCCATACCTAATATCGAAGTTTTTTGGCAAAATTTTCTAAGTTGGTAATGCTAGATCCCAAAGAACCCGATAAGTTAGGTATTTAATAGTAAGTTACCGGATTATTATTACAGCTGTTTTCAAGTTCTGGGATATCTGGTAAAAAATTGGCCGGACTAATATTTGCATATTCGATAAGTTTATGATTTCAGTAATGATATGTTACATAATGTATATCACTAATTTATCTTTGCTAAATGACATTTTCAAAGAAAGTATATTCGTTGGAAAATTATTGATCAGTATTAAAAAAGATATTTTTCACGTAACATTTTATTATTCTACAATACTATCTATGGCATTAGACGATTGATGAGTTTCACATTTTTCTATAGCAGAAGCCAAAACTTGAGATCGAAATGATAAGCCTTTTGTACGTTCAATAACTTGTTGATATATGGATGTATGATTTTGATTCATGATGACAGTATTCTATAATAAAATATTTTGAAATAAGAAATATATTAATCGATTAACAAGTTAAAACCGTGACTTTAAAAAGACAAACCTCTTTAAAATCAATCTTTGCATCTACACGTGTATCACGAATTAAATTAACAATCCACTTTTCTCCTTCTTCTTGGCCTAAATTAAGTGTCTGTGACAACCCGCTATTACAAGTGAAACAGATCATAAGTTAGAATAAATGGTCATTTGATAAATTATATAAAGAGAGATCAAATAGTCCAAACCCAATATCAATCTTCAAATGTATTCGGCAATAAGTTTCAGAAATCAGATATCGTGCATTTTCAATGAATTCCATCTTTGTAGCGACAAGGAAAAAATCATTAGATAGTACTTCTTCACATTCCTTTAATTTATGTTGAGCACCTTCGAAATCGAATTTAACATATAAACTCTCAATAAATTCAGTGATTGGATCTTTATATTCATAACTCTCTTGTTGAATAATTTTTATTAAGTCTTTTAAAATATTTTTTCGGCGTTTGTTGGTGACAACAGCAGTTGTGAGATATCGGAGGATCCATGGACATGACGTTTGGATAGTATTAATGTATGAAGGATTGAAAAATACATCAATGATGCTATCCCGTCCTTTAGGATGGTTAAAGAATACAAAAATAGACCAATGAATAAACCATGTGCGTTGTTGTAGTTGATGCAGAGGAGATGTAAAGATTGATTTTAAAGAGGTTTGTCTTTTTAAAGTCACGGTTTTAA